CAAGGCCATCGAGGTTGAGTTGGCTGCCCACGGCCATTTCAAGGGTGTCACCAAGGAGTACCGTGAGAAGCTGCGCTCCCTGTTTAGCAACCTTAAGGTCAAGAGCAACCGCCAGCTTGGCGTCAATGTCATGGAAGGCAAGATCACTCCCGCTCGGTTCGTGGTCATGACGCACGAGGAGCTCAAGTCGGAAGAGCAGAGGAAGAAGGAGGATGCTCTGCAGCAGGAGAACATGAAGAAGGCCCAGGTTCCCATGGCTGAGAAGAGTATCAGCGATGCTCTCAAGTGCGGCAAGTGTGGCCAGAAGAAAGTCAGCTACAGTCAGGCGCAGACTCGCAGTGCTGATGAACCGATGACGACATTTTGCGAGTGTACCGTATGCGGTAACCGCTGGAAGGTTTGTTGACCCTTATTTGATTCTCTTCGCCGACTATGCTAACCAAGTCTCAGTTCTCTTGAGCGTACGATTCTGGAGAGGAAGTTTCGATTTTTTCAACCGACGGCGTGATTTTCACTTATACCCCGTTATTGAAGCACGGGATGATGGTCCTGCATTTGGCACTCGGGAGTGCGGGCTTGGTTGGTATGGAGTTGGGGAAGAGGAAAGGTCCTCGGTATTTTCTCCTTTATTGATTCTGTTTGCTCTGCCCTTGAACATTAAAAGCTTCGGGCATCAGACGCATGTGTGGCTATCGACAACCGGTTTCACGGAGAGCGAATTACACTTTAGATAGGGGGCTTGATAAGTCCATAGCCATGTGGCCTGTACTAGGTTGAGGCACGGGAGCAATCGAGATCTTGCAAAGTGCCTAACTGGCATTGGCTCACTACCTTATTACACCGCCTCGGGTCTTGCCGTATTCACTTGAAGCGCTCTCTATCTCATGACCTCATGACGCCACATGATGTACTTTCCACGCGTGTCCTTGTCGCCGCTGCTGGTGGGTATATAGGGGGAATCAGAAGAAGACTTTCTGCAGTGGACATTGCGACAACCGAGTGTTCATCCAGTACACATGGTGGTAGACCTGCAGCCATTTGTGGCCTATGCGGAAATAAAGTAGCAAAGCAGTGTAGAGAAAGAGTTAATCTATTAGTAGTCTGTATCATTACTTTTTCGCCGGGTCGATCTTGAGCACTGAGAACAGATCCGCCGAGTGATCGTCCTCCTCCAACCCCATTGCCGCCACGTGCTTCCAAAACTTGCTGAGATGCCTCGTGCCAGAGTCGCATAGGATGGTGACGACCTGGCTCCCCTCGGGAAGCCTCGAAGCAGCCACGACCGCCGCAACGCAGTTGACCGCGCTGCTGCTGCCGGCAAAAATGCCGTCGTTCTCCACCAGCCACCTCGCCATGCGGCACGCCTGCTCGTCCGTGACCTTGATCGCGTCGTCGATGAGCTCCCTGCCGGCCTCAAAATTCTCCGTGACGCGGTTGATGCCGATGCCCTCTACAATGGTGTCGACCTGCGTCCGCCGCCGCGTGCCCTCCTTCTCGGTACTCGAGTACATGACGCCGTGCCGGATCTTGTTGTACAGCCCGCTGCCCTGGGGGTCCGCCAGCACGACCTGCAGACCCGGCACGTTGGCCTCCTCCTTGAGGTACTTGGCCACGCCCGCGATGGTGCCGCCCGTCCCCGCGCCTGCGACAAAGGCGTCCAGCTTTCCGCTGGTCTGGTACACAATCTCCGGGCCCGTGGTGTGCAGGTGCGCCGCAAAGTTGGCCGGGTTCTCAAACTGGTCCGCAAAGTACCCGACGCTGCCGTCGCCGGCCTTGGCGGCGTGCTCCAGCGCGCGGCGGCGGGCGAGGTTGACAAAGTGCTCCGGCGACGCGATCGGCGCCGGGTCCACGCGCTCGACAGTGGCGCCCAGGTGACGGAGCAGATCGACCTTTTCCATGGCCATGTCGTTGGGCATGCAAATGTGCGCGCGGTAGCCCCTCGCGCGGGCGAGCGTCGCCAGAGAGATGCCCGTGCTCCCGACGGTGCCCTCGTAGATGGTGTCGCCGCGACCCGGGACGAGCTGGCCCGCGGCCTCGGCGCCCTCGATCATGGACAGCGCGACGCGGTCCTTGGGCGTGTTGCCGGCCGCGTTCAGGAACTCTGCCTTTGCGAGGATCACGCGCCCTGTGGCCTCGCTGAGGGAGCGGATCTTGATGAGGGGCGTGTTGCCGATGGCGCCCGCCACGCCGTCCGCGATCAACGGTGGGTTCCAGGCGGAACCGCCGAGTGTGGTGAGGAGAGCGGCGGCCGCCGCTTCATCGGCTTCGGATGCAGTCTCGTGGTCTTCGAGCTGTACGGGCGGGCCCCAAAAGATGCTGCTACGCCGCGAGGGGTCTGCAGAGGACCCGCCAGCGGTGGTGGTGTTGCGCGCGCGGCGGTTGCGACGGCGCTGGTACCGGCGTTCGAGGTCCGGATAAAAGTCTTTGAAGCCCAGGGTGACGAGGATGCCGGCCGTGAAGGCAAGCGCTAGGGCGGCTGAGCCATAGGCTTTGGGATGGTTACTCAGAGACATGTTGTCTGTGTCATGTGTCGTAATCCATCGTCCGCGTTCCTTTTTCCGCGAGCTCTTTTTGTTGTCGTCGTCGTGTATCTCTCGACGAGATGTGGTTGCGGTATCGGAAAACAAAAACACTGACAGGTGCTCTGCGCATGAATTTCAACCATCTTATTCTACAGGGGATTTGCCCGCTAAACTGGAGGTGATGTCATTTTAGCTCTTCTAGACCCCTGCCTTTCAGCCTCAACGGTGCCTCTGTACCCGTCCACCGCGCTGTGCCTGCAGGTTCCTCAGGCGTTAAGACTTCCGTCGGTGCATCCCTTGGCAGGGGACCATGGCGGTGGAGCTGTACGGGAACGGGCATGTGCGCTATGGCGGATTAACAGCTGCCCCGTGGTATAAGGGAGCTCGGGCCATGCTCGAACCTCTGTCAAACCGAAGATTCGCGATTTGCAACGGTTTTGTTGACTTTCCCCAATCGACCCCCATTTCGCCCTGCCGAGTACTCGTCCCGCTCGACCATCGAAATCCTCGTCTCGGGATGGATTCCCCCGCCGTCACTCGTCTCTTCCGTGAGCTCTTCCGCCGGCCCGCGTGTCAATCCCGGCGACAATGCACGACCGCCGCCGGCATTCCGGCTCTAAGCCATCACCACCAACGGCCTCGTGTCCAACATAACCACAGCGGCAGCGTAGCAGCCCCAGCATCATCCTCCTCCTCCTCAAGAGCGGCCAATGTCTCTGCGGTACCTCAGCAACGGCGACATTACGCCGTCAAGACCACGTCCGAGAGGCAGGAAAAGACAAACGAGTCAAGATGGCAACAGCGGACCTCCCTCTTCCCGAGTGACCGCGCCGACGAGTTCGACACCTACCCGACCCTCAACGCCCGCGACCTGGCCGCCCGCTCGACCCGCCCGCGCAAGGCTAAGATGCTCACCCGCGATTTCATCGAGGACAGCCTCTACAACCCGGCCTACGGCTACTTCTCCACCCAGGCCGTCATCTTCTCCCCCGGCCAGCCCTTCGACTTCCCCTCCTTCCGCGACGAGCCGCATTTTTACCGCGAGCTTGGCCAGCGCTACACCGAATTCGAGGACGACCTCGACGACAAAGAGGGCGTCAACGACGCCCGCCCGCTCTGGCACACGCCCACCGAGCTCTTCCGCCCGTACTACGGCGAGGCCATCGCCCGCTACCTCGTCTCAAACTACCGCCTCACGACGTACCCCTACCACGACCTCATCATCTACGAGATGGGCGCCGGCCGCGGCACCCTCATGCTCAACATCCTCGACTACATCCGCGACCTCGACCCCCAGGTCTACGCCCGCACCCAGTACCGCATCATCGAAATCTCCCCCGCGCTCGCCTCCCTCCAGCGTCACCACCTCCTCTCCACCGCCGACTCCCGCGGCCACGCCTCCAAAGTCGAAATCATCAACCAGTCTATCTTCTCCTGGTCCGAACGCGTCCCTTCTCCTTGCTTCTTCCTCGCCATGGAGGTCTTTGACAACTTCTCCCACGACGTCGTACGCTACGACCTCGCCACGGAAGAACCCCTACAAGGCTCCGTCCTCGTCGACGCAGACAACGACCTCTACGAGTTCTACTCCCCGGACCTTGACCCCGTCCTCGCCCGCTTCCTCCGCGTCCGCCACGCCGCCACGGGTGGACGCTACCCCCTCCCCTACCCGGCCAACCGCGTCCTCCGCCACCTCAAGTCGCGCATGCCGCTCATGCCGAACCTCTCGGAACCAGAGTACATCCCGACCCGCCTCATGCAGTTCTTCGACGTGCTGGAAAAGTACTTCCCCGGCCACCGCCTCGTCACGAGTGACTTCCACTCGCTGCCCGACGCCATACCGGGCCTCAACGCCCCCGTCGTCCAGACCCGGTACGAGCGCACGACGGTGCCCGTGACGACGCCTTTGGTACGTTCAATAACCACACGAACATGATGAATGCCGTTGCTAACAAAAAGGGCACACAGGTCCACCAAGGCTATTTCGACATCATGTTCCCGACAGACTTCCTAACCATGGAGGCCATGTACCAGGCCATCACGGGCAAGCTTACGAGGCTCATGTCGCATGGTGACTTTATGCAACGATGGGCGTTCCTCGAAGACACCCAAACGCGCAGCGGGGAGAACCCTCTGCTGAGCTACTACCAGAACGCAAGTGTGCTGGTAACTGTATAAAACAAATGTAGAAAAGAAAAAGAACATATACCCCTTTAGACTACGGAAAGTTCCGGAACACAGGCAACACGCAATTCTGCTGTTTTAACTTTGTTCAGATTGTCTTCCCTAATTTTGTTGGAATACATAGAGAGGAACAAGAGGCTCATCATGCCAGTGATCTACTCCTTTTCCTACCTTGGACATGCTCGAAATCGCAGCATATCCAGTTTTCGCCCACACTCCCGTCCATCTAGACCCCGTGAAAAGTAAATTGGTTGCCAGACATGTTGCAGCACATCAGCGGGATATCTCTGTCGCTCAAATATTGAGCTTCTCCTTCAGCCACTTCTCTGCCTCGGCAACAGCCTCATCCAGCTTCTCGGCGTTGGTGCCCTGTCCTTGGCGGGTAGGCTCCTTGCCACCAGACTTGCCTCCAATCACTCCACTGACCTGAGAAGCCCACTGCTCGGCGGTAACGCCTTGTGAGGACAGGTGCTGAATTGCATGTTAGCTTGTACTTCTATATTCTTACGAGGGGTCCAACTTACAGTGCCAACGTAGACGCCGTGGGCAACGGCACCCTCGTTCTTGCTTCCACCAAACAGGTAGACAGAGCGCTCCTTGTCCTTGGACTGGAAGTGCTTCACAACCTCGCCAATAGCCTTGGCGTTGGCGGAGATCGGGAGCTGACCAACGAACCACTTGGAGTCCTTGTTCTTCTCGAAATGCGCAGCAACGGTGTCGAGCGCAGTCTTGGACTCGGCCTTTTGGCGCTTCTTTTGCTCATCGGTGACGGACTTGACAATCTTGTCGAAGCGCTTCTTGATATCCTCCTTGGTGAGAGTGGAGATAGTCAATTGGTTGAGTGCATGCTGGGTCGACTTGATCTCCTGCTCCTTCTCGGGGCCAAAGGCAAGTGCCTCAAGTGCATCGAGACGCTTGGAGAACTCAGCAGCCTCGCGTTGCACTTGGTGAGCAGCATCGCCAGTGTAGGCGATGATGCGACGGATACCCTTGGCAATACCGCTCTCCTCAACGATGACAAGGTCCTTGATGAGGCCGGTCTGCTCAACGTGAGTACCTCCGCAGAACTCCACGCTGACCTTGCGCCACTCTGCGTTCTTGGGGTTTGCGAGGAGGGTGTCAACATCAACGCCGACAGACACAACGCGAACGGGGTTGGGGTATGTCTCGCCAAAGACGGCACGAACACCCTCAATTCCCTTGGCAAGATCGAGGTCTACCTCCTTTGAGTAGATCTTGCCATTTTGGCGGATGTAGGCGTTGGAGAAGTCCTCAATCTTCTTGATCTCGGGGATAGTCACACCGGTCTTGTGGGAGAAGTCGAAACGCAGCTTCTCGTTGTCGACCAGAGAGCCCTTCTGATTGATGTCATCGCCGAGAACTTCTCGGAGGGAGTGGTTGAGGATGTGAGTGCCAGTGTGGTTGTTGCGGATGGGTGATCTTCTCAGCTCGTCGTACTCGCAGATGACCTCGTTGCCAGAGGACAAGTTGCCGTCCTCGAGATATCCACTGTGGACAATGTAACCACCAAAGTTCTGAACATCGAGAACCTTGAACTCGGCGACACCATCAATGACAATGCGACCAGAATCGGCGACCTGACCACCAGACTCAGCATAAAAGTTGGTCTTGTCGAGCAACAGACCCAAGGGAGTGTTCTCGGCGATACCCTCAGTTGACTTGATGAAACCCTTGCCGTCGTAGATCAGCTGCACCTTGGCCTTTGAGTCACCCTTGACAAACTTGGCCTCATCGTCCGTTCTCGCAATGTTGAGCTGCTGCTCAAGCTCAGCAATTTGGTGGACATTCAGCTTGGCGAAAGTCTGGGCAGCGTTCTTGACGACCTTGCTAGCCTCGCGGGCCTTCTCCTGGGCAACCTTGACCTCCTCGTCGTCGATGTCGAGCTTACGCTCCTCGGCCATCAGCTTTGTAAGATCCACAGGGAATCCGAAGGTGTCGTAGAGTCTCCAAACCTCCGCGCCAGTGAGCTTCTTCTCGCCCTTCTTGATGGCAGCATTGGCGAACTTCTCGAATTGAGCCTCGCCACGGTCAAGGGTACGGGCAAAGGCCGCCTCTTCCTCATCGAGGATCTCAATGATATCCTGCTGCTTCTTGACAATCTCGGGGAACTGTTCGCCCATCTGATCGACAAGAGCAGGAAGAATCTTGGAGAAGAAGGATCCAATCTCGGCGTTGAAGTACTTGCGCGCGTAGCGGACACCGCGGCGGAGCACTCTGCGGAGGACGTATCCGCGGCCGTCATTGTTGGGGACAGCACCATCAGACATGGAGAAGGTCAGAAGACGGATGTGGTCAGCAATGACACGGTAGGCAGTGTCGATTCCGTCAGCATCGTCGGCTCCGTACTTATCAGTGTAGGGCCTGGCGCCAGTAACTTCCTCAATCCTCTTGAAGAGGGGCGTGAAGATATCGGTGGCGTAGTTGGAAACGGTATCCTGGAGAGCGGAGACGAGACGCTCGAAACCCATGCCAGTATCAACGTGCTTGGCGGGGAGAGACTTGAGTGACTTATCGGCCTGGCGGTCGTATTGGATGAAAACGTTGTTCCAGATCTCCACGACCATCGGGTCATCCTCGTTCACCAAGTGAGCGGCGTTGCGGCCGCCGCCAACCTTGTCGTAGTGGACCTCACTGCAGGGACCGCAAGGGCCTTGGTCACCCATCTCCCAGAAATTGTCCTTCATGTTGCCGGGCAAGATGTGGTCGTCGGGGACACCAACGGATTGCCACAGGCTCTTGGCCTCCAGATCGGGCTCGAGACCCATCTCAGGGTTGCCCTCGAAGTAAGAGACGTACAAGCGGGCAGGATCCAGACCATAGACCTTGGTCAAGAGCTCCCATGACATCTCAATGGCCTCCTTCTTGAAGTAATCTCCAAAGGACCAGTTGCCCAGCATCTCGAAGAATGTGTGGTGGTAGCTGTCCTTGCCGACATCGTCAAGATCGTTGTGCTTGCCACCGGCGCGAATGCACTTTTGGGAGTCGGTCGCACGCTTGAGAGGGTACATGGGATCCGACTTTGAGATCGTTCCGAGGAAGATGGGCTTAAATTGGTTCATGCCCGCATTGGTGAAGAGCAAGGTGGGGTCATTGTGAGGGACGACGGAAGAAGAGGGCACTGAGATAAAGCAGAGATGGTTAGCCAATTGGCACTTTTGAAGCAAACTTGAGAAGCGCAATGTCTAGATGGAAGATGGAAGAGTTATACTCCTCTATCGCGCCGTGCAGCGGGGGCAAAGGGGGAAGTCGGTGACAACATACCGATCGTGTGGCCCCTCTTCTCGAAGAACTCGAGGAAAGTCTTGCGCACAACGGCGCCGGGCCACTTTGGCTCAGCCATGACTTGGGTGGGCAAGGTCGAAGTAGAGTGAAAGCGCCTATAAGGAAAAGTAGCACTCGATGCGATGAGTCCAGACGGTGAGTGGGTATCTGTCCTGGATCCAACCGACGCTCGAGTCCTCTTGGAAAAAGTGTTTGTTGATGGTGATGAGGGGAGGGATGATGTTTTATCAGGGTCGGCACAGCTGTGACTCTTTTGGCGGGATGAGCTGCTTGCTAGCGCGGCAGCTACATTGCTTCGGGGTAGGAGGGGCAGCGGCGTCCGTGCCAGTGGCAGTGGCAGAGATAGTGATAGCTGGGGCGATAGCGGCGGCGGGCCTGGTTGCGGGTGGTGGTGCCGATGCAGATGCGGGTGCGGCGAGGGGTGGTGGTGGTGGTCCAGGTCTGGTGCTGTTGCTGGAACTGGAGCTGGTGGTCCGGTGGTGCTGTCGTGGAAACTTCTACAAGAGTGAGTCAAAGCCAGTACAAAAGCGCCAGAGCTCCCCGGCAGTCGCAGCCGATGCTCAAGGCTACTTCGTCCGCCACAGCTGAAAGCCAGAGAAGAACGCGTCTGCGCCCGCGCCCCTCGTACGAGCACAGCAGCATTAGCAGTAGCGAAGGTCATCCCTCCTCCGCTTCCTTCCAAGTTCCCCCTCACCCCTTAGAGTATATATCGACGAATTGGATCTGCTCAGGAGAGAGAGCAAGCCAGCGAGCGAGCTCTACCGGTACTAGAACCGTCCACGGATCTCCTCTTTTCCTCTTCTTTCCCCCTTCTTTTTGCTGATTCAAACCGCAACTCTCTCTCCTCTCTTCTTACCAACGAAACGTAAAAAAGACAACCAACACTGGCAAAAGTTGTTTTCCGATTCTCGCCGTCCAAAGACCCTAGCTCACCAAAGACATTTGAGACTTTGGATTGACTTTGGGCCCGCGTTCTTCGCTTCGCGACGGGATATTCCCTACCCTTCCGGAAACGGCGATTCGATATCAGCCGTACCGTACCTTTCTCTCGCTCTTCTCTCTCTCAAGCTCACTTTTGAGTGAACCTCGGACCCGATTGGCAGCACCTCTGTTACGCCCGCTACTCAGTTGCGCCTGTCGTGTCTCTCTTTGCTGCAATTCTAGTGGCCGCTTCGGGAGTTTGGACAATTGAACATCGCCTTTGTTTCCGGATATTATCGTCGTTGTCGTCGGTCAGCAGCTCTGCGGACCAGGGAGCTGGTAGTGCTAATAGGAGTGGTACACCAGAAGAAGCGGTCGGACGAGAGGCAGAGAGGAAAGAGGGAAAGTTCCAGCAAAAGTCGCCGAAATATGCTACTGCACGGGACCCAATCTCCCTCCCACGCCCTGGAGGCGGATCAGCACCAGCACCAGCATCAGCATCCTCAGGCGAGGCAGCTAAGGCGCAAACGAAAAGCTGAGTCCCAAGACAACGAACGTTTATCCAAAAGGCTCAGTCTTCTGAATTTAGGTAAGTCAACTGCCACAACACGAGCCCACGACAATATAAGCTTTCTTTCCGCTTTCATACTCACGCATCATGCAGAGAAGAATGGCCAGAAGCTCTACGTGCCCGTGGAGGAGCCGACTCCGTCTTCAAGCATTCCAATCCCCGCAGACTCGTCGTCAGCATCCACATCTCCTCCCACCACCCGTCGTCGACGTCGTGATCGCAAACCGTCCGTCGATGAAGAAGTGATGCAGCTCGACGACTCCAAGCACAAGGTCTACATCTACAACATTGATGATGAGTTGTCTTCCTCCGAAAGCGAACCCGACGAGGGTAAGCTCGTCTTTCTCCCGGACATTGAGAAGCACCTCCGCCAGACGCGCATTCCTCCCTCCATTTTCGCCAATGACGAAGGCCAACTCGCTGGCATGCAGGTGGTTCTCTACAACGAGCCCGCATCCTTGACGGTACCTCGTGAGCAGGACAGTGTTCGCAAGGCCATCGTAGAGTCGCGCGCCCGCATGCGCGAGAGACAGCGTCTCGAGCGTGAAGGTAGAGGCGCCCCGGTGCAGATGCCTCCGCCCTTCGTCTCTCAGCAACCCGTAGACGCCATCATTCCGGGCCCCCTAACCCCGACCGGGATGTCGGCACCTGTAGACTACGATCCCGACGCCATGGATATGGACTAGGAGACTCTTGAAGGCAAGTAATGATTGTGTATTTTATGACGATACCCTACGCCGTCACGAATGGGCACGTGTTATTGCAAGACCCCTGGCATCTTTAGCCAGGTCGGCGAGGCGTTTTCATTGGTATCATTTCGATTCATGTTGGTAGAAGTTACTACTTTGTACAATTGACAACAGTTATTTGTTAAAGCATCCAGCTGCCATCTGTTTAGATATGCAGCCTCGATGTGTGAGATCTGACAGCTTCTTGACGGAGAAGTCACTTCCTGGTGAATTCCCATCTTGAGCTGCGTACTCCCGTCTTGATGATTTCCAGCCTCATCTCGTCTCTGTTTCGTCTTTGGCCAACAATGCATAATTCCTCCCACGCTTCGAAAAGATCGCCATCGTAACAACGTCAAATCACATCCGCTCCCGCCTCGGACGTCAAGCCTCCTGCCTTACTGCGCCCTGTACGGGTACGGCTGACCGGTGTGGTTCGCCGCAACAGAGGGCTGCGGCGGCGTGACGCCGTACTCCTGGGACGGGTCGACCTTGCTGCCGCCGTCGGGGGGCGCGTACATGGGGGGCCGGGCCGAGTTGGGATCGTAGGTCGGGGGCGGCATCCCCTGCATGCCGTAGTAGCCGCCGCCCTGTGCCTGCGGGTGGGTGTTGTAGTACTCGGGGCGGTAGGTGTTGTAGGTGGCGGCGGGCCAGGCGTAGCGGCTGTCGACGCGGGCGAGCTGGGCGCGGCTGAAGAGCCAGCGGTGGTAGCCCAGGGGCAGGAGGCCCTTTCTCAGGCGGCGCTTGCCGTGGGCGTAGCCTATGATGAGGAAGGCTGCGAAGAGGGTCGTCAGGCCGAGGAAGACGGACCACTTTACGATGACGCCCGTCTGTTTCGGTGGATGTTAGTTACGGGGAACCGAGATGGTGAGGAATGAAGAGAGGATGATGGATGTGAACTTACCCGACTGTACCACCATGGAATCGCCCGTCCATTCTGTATTACCCAGCCGGGAGGGAGGTCATTCGAGTTGACCACAGTCTGGCGAGCGCTCAAGTAGGCGGCGTCCATCTTTGCGAGTGTGTGATTGCAGGAAGCCGGTTCGCCCCGTTTGCGATTTCCCCCCTTTTTCCCTTGCTGTCAAGTTCCCCTCTCAATCTTGGTGAATGTCGAAGCTTGACCCAAGCCTTTGCTGAAAGGTGAGGTATTGTTGATGAAAGGCTGCAGATCAACTACGCCAAAAAGAGGACACCCTGCTGCTGAAGATTGGCAGAAACGACCGGTGCAAGGATAGCTACAGCCAGACAGAGAGAGAAAGTGTGGTGTGTGTATGTAGAGACTTGGCTTCGTTGCCAAGACTTTTGAAGTGCAACGGGTAGATGATATATTTGAACACAGGTGCAGAACAAAATAGAGTCGGAGGAAACTTGGAATTAAACAATACGGAAGGGGAGGCCTGCTGCTCCAGCCCCCCCAGTCACTGATACACTGATACAATAAATGACACCCCCGGCTTGGATCGTCCGGTCTCCTCTCTCTCTCTGTCTCCCGTCTTTCCTGTTCTGTTCAGTCTGTTCCCCCGAGCTGCTATTTGCTCGGACATGGGGGTCGGTCGGCGGCCTGCTGGGCTGCTGCTGCTGCTGCTGCTGCTGCATCGTTAACTCTGTTCTCCACGGCGCATGGCTGGTGTGCCAGGGGGCAAAGAGCGAGGTTTGGGAGGTTGGAAAGGGTGGAAACTGGGCCAATTGGCTGAGCTTGTCACTTTCAACAAGTGCCCCCCACACGCGCGTCCACGGGTACCTTAAGGTAGTGGACACTGAGGTACGGTACCTACGGAGTAGGGCAGTGACGGATGTGCTGTTCTCGGGGAGCGTAGCAGCTACCTACCTTAGCTGAGTGGGGATGAGGGATTGAGGTGCGGCTCGTGCAATTCTGCGGCAGCGCTGAAGCACCAGGGCCGTTTCATCCACCTCGGGTCCCGAACGGCGAACCACTTACGACACGTACGGATTGTACCTTACCCAATGGTCTGTTGACGATTGGGAGTCCTTGAGGCTTAGAGGTCCCTTCTGACAAAACCTGCTGTACGGGATATCTCTACTGCGAAGCCCTGGGAAGGACAACAACCAACCCATAATACACATTGCGAACACAAGGCGAGACACTTCAAAGCGCCCCCGAATCCTCAGCCTCTAAGTCGAATCCGCTATCGATACCACCTCAAGTTGACTTAATTCAGGACAGCCCGAGGCCATCAATGGCGTGGTATAAGCTCTTCACATAGGCCTCGCATAGGGAAAAAGCGGCGACTTTGTATGCTTCAAACCAACTCGCTCAGTCATTCACTGCACTCACCCGTCCGGGATCCCCCGTCCTCGCTCTCGCTCAGCTCACCGTGATACCTCAGTATTACCTAGCCATGTCAAACAAGCGACAGCGCTGCTGCTGATGGCTCGAAAGTCGAGACTGCCTGCTCTCTGTACTGCTGTGACTGCTTCTCCCTTATCCCACCGGCCGAACACGACGAGGTTGAGTTCGTCGGAACCCGTTTCGTGCGTACACGCCCGCGAAGACACACAACTTCGTTCTCGGTTATAATTATAAGCATCAAGCAATGCTTTCGTTTACGAGTTCCATTTCTTCATTCTCACTCCAGTGCCCCCATATTCGTGTAATATATATATAAAAAAAAAGAACTCTCAGAGATCAAGCTACCGTACTCTCGCAGTCAACACGTACCTAGTGCTACTCGTAAGAACCAAGGCGAGTAAGGAAATGAATGGCGCCCGCCAGGCAGCCAAACTTACCATGTAAGCGACCACAGAGTAATATCTGACCGTTACTATCCAAACCCCGATAAAAACTCTACATTGATTTACTGCAACAATGACAACAAACCCCCCCTCCCATCCTCCAACAGAAACATCGGATCAATCGGCCTGCGTCAGCTACAATCCTCGTCAGCCGATCATGATTCAGTAAGGCGAGAACGAACTAGGTGGGTGTATGAGCTTGTTCAGTGATGGACGTATGGGGGGGGGGAGGTCGGATACCGGCTCACTTACACACACACATCGTCATCACACACATACTGCGGTAGTAAGAGAAGTAATATGGCAAGGTACACATTGACCTCTACACACATACGGACACAAACCGACACGGGCCCTCAGTAAGGCTTAGCAGGAAAAAGGGAACAAGCGTAAAGATGAAGCTTGATTTGTGAGGCACACAACACCCAATGCAAATATGGATTCAGTCGGGGGTGTATCCTTGTAGAAACATCATCCCACGTCTCAACACATCTTCAGCTCTGTACACTACACCACCTTGCCTTCAGGCTTCAACATCCTACACGGTGTAGTAGTAGCAGAGCCCATCGTAAAGGAGGAAGAAACAAGCTCATCCGGCAACCACTCGCCGAAAGAAAAGAAAAAGCACAGGCACTCTTCTTATCCACTTTTCCCTAGGAATCTTTCGGGGTTCCCTCCCAACGTTCAGACCGAAGTTTCCCATATCGGGAAATATAGGGCTAGCTGTAAATGACATACTGTCTCGCAGCATGCCCATCCATCCATCGCTCTTCTCCCCGAAGTAGAAGCTCGGATATATTCTTCACTCGACCGCCAGTTCGGATCTCAAGCCGGAGTGGGCCTCACTGACCACCTCTCCCACTCAAAAGAGAACTCCATCAACCACCTTCGAATGTGGGTGCAGAGTAAAGGTAGGTCAATACCAAGAAGAGGAATAAAGGGGGCAGTGGGCAGCATCTTTTTTGTAGCCATCACCTGTTGATAGGATGATTACGCCAGCCGACGCCTGTCGCCGTGCTTCCTACTCTTCGTCTAGCAGCGCGTGTTGATCCGAGAGTGACAATGTTGATGAAAAAGGGAAAGCAAAAAGCTCTCGAGCCTAGTCTGAAGACGTCACGCAGTCTGTCCGTGTGGCCGTCGTCGTCATGTACCACGGATACGTCCGCCTCGTCCCGTTTCGTCTCGTCGACGACGGCGGTAAAGAAGAAGTGAGAAAGCCGTGTGTACCCTTCGCATCACCCGTCCCTCCACCACCCAGTATCCTCATCGTAGCCGATAATATCAAAATCGATATTCATACTCCGGAGCATCGTCCCCATCGTGAACTGCTGTCCCCAAAGTCAGCAAAAGCCTCATCCTCCCCGTCCCTGCTCCCCCAACATGTAAGAAACTCACCTCTTCCTCTTCTTCCTCTTCCTCACCAACACCCTCATCTCCATCTCCTTCACCACGATCCCCTTCATCAACCCCTTCCCACCCCTCACGACTCCTCCTCCTAGCCCTCCCAGCGCCTTCTTCCCCCTCCAACATCGCCATGAACCTCACCTCATCCTCCCTCCTCGCCCTCCTCCACGCCTTCAACCCCCCCATCCCCTCAACCCTCTCCTTAGACCCCTCAAACACCTCCTCCGCCGCAATGCGGCTCGCGGCCCTCCACTTGCCAATCAACTCGAGAAGCTCCTCGTCCGTCTCTCCCTCTCCCACGGCGCCGCGAATCCGCTCAGCCTGCCGTAGAATCTCCTCCCTCCCCTCCGCTTCCCTCTCGCTCTTGCTCCCAACGAGCCCAAGACCATTAGTTTTTCTACTAGCACCACTATATGGACTCGCCGTCCCCATCCGCAGCGGCGAAGGCGAAGCACCCATCTGCTGCAACCCCCCCACTCGCGGAATGCTAAACGGCCGGCGTGTAGGCGTAGATGTAACCGAAGATGTGCCGCCCACCCCCCGTTTCCCAGGCGTCGCAAACTTCTCCGTAGCGTGCCGTGATGTCGTCGTTGCAGCCCCCCTCGCAGATGATGGCGATGACGCTACCGCAGGGTTCTCGGTCGTCGGTGCCGAATCATCATCCTCTTCAGCCGCAGGATTCTCCGTCGCCGCCGCCGTTGTCGCGGTGCTGCCATCCCGATTCCGCTCCGGGCCTGGGCCTCGGTCCCGCTGCACCAAAGGCGACCTAAACGGTTTCCGTAACGTCTCGTTTGCCGCGTCGACACGTCGGCGTTTCGCCGCCGGGGTAAACATTGCGTTTTCGATCCACTGTTCTCTTCCTTTCTCCCGCCAAAGATAAGCCTTTGTCTTTTTATCTGAGTCGCGCGCGTGTCGTCTGTGCTTAATAAAACGGTTTGGTGGGAAGGGAGCCGCATTTGACAGGGCCGCTTGGAAGTCAAGGTAGGTGTTGCTGGAGGCTTTTGCAATTGACCGTAGCTGCCTGTGCAGACCTACGGGAAGACGCACACGCGCACCACTTTTCCGACTTTCAGACTTCGGGGTAAATTTAATGCCGTGTTCACCATGAAAAGAACATATCAACAGGTCATATCGAAGAGAACATTCAGCTCGCGTATCCACGGGCCGCGCCGCGAGACGGTCTCAAAGTCACTAGTGTCAAGATTTTGGCTCACTCTATTTCGCATACGCAATCACGGTCTGGATAAAGATGCAAATTTGTAGATCAACAGTTCATTCCAACTATTCAGCCCTTGCCCTTCCGTAATCTACAGAAATCACACCAAACGCCCCGAGACCATCCATCTTCTGCTACAGGCCAGTTTTCCATGCTTCCAGTCATCTCACATGTCCGTGTGCACATCATTCCCTCCAAAGCCGTTTCGGACACGGGGAGTAGTAGTAATACTACTCATCAGTCCAGATGAAGTACGAAAAAATAGAAAGAAAAATCAAAAACCCTGTCGTGGCCGATGTTGCGCCTAGCAATGCAGCATAATCCTCTGCGTACACAGAGATATAGAAGAGAAGGTAAACTAAACATCTTACGTGACGCTAATGCCGTAAAGTGAAAAGAAAGAGGTATCATAGAACCAAATGCACTCCATACATGGTCTGAAGGAGGCCAGAATGCAGATGAATGGTACAGATAAGGTGTGGAAAAAAGCGTCGAATAAAGAAGAGAAACTTGAAATCAAGAATCTACCCGAATCCTCTTGGGTTCGTTCCCGGCCTCGGGACCGTCGTGCGGACCATTGGCGCTGATCTCAGGACTCTTGCGCTTCGTAGCCGGATTGTCGTCTCGCAAGAAGCTGGGGCCGGAACCAACGACTGGAGTCGCAAAGTTCAATGGACTGGGTAGTGTGTTGCTATCGCTGCCGCCACGAGCATACCATTCCGGATAAAAGCTGCTCGGACTGGGCAGAAATTCATTATTTAAGAATCGGGACGGAAGGGCGGAAACGGGGGTGTCAATGTTCATATTGCTGTTTTGTTGCGGAGGTGGGCGAGCAAACGGGTTTGGCGGGCCCGTGGCGCCAGCTGAGAGGAGCGTTTGGGCTGACGGGGATGGCGGCGGCAGAACCATACCGGAAGAGTGCGAGTCGGATGCATGGCGCCGAGTCGTCTGGGATGTGGTATCTGTCGAGTTGCGAGGAGAGTTTGACTCGGCAGTTGCGCTACCGCCATCCGAAGGTTCGTCGGGAATCTCCACCCTCAAACGGGGACGCGCACCACCACCAAGCTTCATGCTATTGGTGCGAGATGGCGGAGTAAACGTTGTCTCTGGGATTGACGATACGGAGATGTTGCGGCTTTTGTTTAGAGATTGAGTGCTGGCGCGCGGAGGCATGGGCGGAGAAGTCGTGGAACCATTGGTCCGAGATACTGCGCCAACATCAACTGACTGAGAGCGGTTACCTTCAACCTTAATAGTGCTCTGGTCAGGGAATGGGGGCCGATTAGGCTCCGCCTTTATGCTCTGCTCAGAGGCGAATGAAGCCAAGTGCTGAGACAGGATGGAGCGGTTCTCGTCAATGGGAGTGAAGATGCTGTGCTGCTTACGCTGCGGAAGCTTCTTGATCGCGCTGTCCGTGTTGAGCAGGGGCGGCTGGGGTCTTTGGGGCAGCTCGGATCGTGGCTCCGATGGCGCTGGCATCTCCTCAGACTGCGGCGGCGAAGGCTGATGTTGTTGCGGCTGTTGCTGTTGCTGTTGAGACTGAGGTGGCTGCGGCTGTTGCTGTTGCTGGGGTTGAGGCGACGGATGCGGTTGCTGCTGCTGCTGTTGAGGCTCAAGTTGCTGTGGCTGTGGCGGCGGTGAAATCTGAGGTGGTTGCGGCGGCAATTGCTGAGTAGGAGGCTGTGGCGGAGACGGCGAGATCCGAGAAACTTGAGGCCCAGGCCCTTGCGGACCCTGCTGTTGCGGATAGTTTGGCGGCATGGAACGGCGCTGGTCCTCCATATGCTGTTGCATGTGCGGGGGATGATGGTTGGGCGCGTACGAGGAGTATTGAGGGCCATGTTGCTGGTACTGCTGGGGGATTCCGTGAGGCATGTTTGGTGGCATATTGGGCTGGTTCTGGGGATTGTAGATGGCGGGGTTGGGCATGTAGGCAAATCCATTGACCGGAGGCTGCTGAGATCCGGGAGGGCCAACGGGTTGAGGGCCCATGTTTGGTCCCATCCGGCGGATGTCTTGTCGAGAACCGGGCCGTGATCCCATGCCAGGCTGCGGGGTGTGGCCGCGTTGCACGGGAAGACCATGGTGTTGCGGGAAAGGCACGCCATTAGGAATCGGAGGTGAAGCTGAGGGGGTGTGGTGTCGCATATGAGGAAATGGCGCTTGTCCTTGGAACTGAGGCGGAATCATGTGAGACTCCTGCGGCGGGGTGCCTTCAGGATCTTCGTCTTCGTCCTCGTCGTTGCCTCCGTTGAAGTCTGAAGGGCCTTTGTGTTCATTCGGGCCGCCATGCTATCTCAGGGTTAGCGTTACGCATTCGCGACCCAGAAAGAATGGAGGAACTCACGTATGTGTATCTAGTGATCATCTCCCGCATATCCGTGGAAGAATACTCATACAACTTCTTGTTGCTGCCGAATATAAAGACAGCGACGTCGACGGAGCACAGCACGGAAAGCTCATGCGCCTTCTTGAACAAACCGCCTTTTCTCTTGAGAAAGGTGCTATACGCGACGCGACAGTCAGCCAAAGGTTTCTGGGTATCGCGAGGGGTAGTCAGGGCGCAAGCTTACACAGAGCGGTTCCTATCATCCTTGATGGCCTTGATCTCAATCTTTCTGCGTCCCATCTTGAACTAGATGCTCTAGGCTTGCTGACGGGTATGAGGCAGCGAAACGTGTTATACGGGGCCGAAGACGTTGTCGAGGCGAGCGACTTCGAGACCGATCAGCGATATCGCGGCGGCGTCGTCGTCGTCGGCGAGGTCTCAGCCGTTGCAGTCGCGATGTAGGGTCGACTGGTCCTGGGTGAGGGTGAGGGTGAGGGTCTTGAGGAGGCGAGAGACTGGTTGGAGCTCGAAGGAGAAGGGACGCGAGCTGGATATATCTGATCGCAGCGACTAGCTTGGCTGGTCGGGAAAGTGAGGTGGAAACAAAAGCTAGGCCGGGGAGGGCTGATTGCTTTTATCTAGATGGGCTGGGTCGTGGGTAGTGGTTCCGAACTGGCGATGCGTCAGTCAGTGGTTGCATGGGACAAGGCAGCGCATCCCGGGAGCAACGGTATATGACAGGCGGTGGGAGCAAAAGGCTGTCAGAGCAGGGGAGAGAGTTGACTTGACGACGCATCAAGAACGTACATTGATCCCATTACAAGTGCAGATGCGACAGGTTCTGGGATGGACAGGCGATGTGAGGTGCAGGTCGATGGGGCTGAATCTGGCGTGGATGATTCTAATAATAGACGCGATCGTGTTCACTTTTTGGGTGCGGGAAGGCAGGACAGTTGAAGGAGGGAAGGGGGAAAAAAAGAATGGGAATGGATGGTGGAGGGGGAAGCAACAGTATTAGGTGCAGCCAGCCAGCCCGGTACAGTACCTACCTCAGGTGTAAGGTAAGGTGGTAATGGTAGCAGCAGGAGGAAGAGTAGGTAATGGGGGCAAGGCAAGGCAAGGTAAGGTCAGGCAAGACAAGCCCACATCAGCGACCTAAGAGTGTGTAGCAGACGGAGTAGGTACCGAAGATGAGTGAGTGAGCACTTCCACCCAGTGAGGTTGCGGCAAAGAGATGGAATAGGTGGAAATCGGGGAGCGGGAGCAGCAGAGTAGTGCGACGGGCTGCGCAAGCATCAATCAGCAGGTGCAGCAGTATCCGTACCTAGCAGCAAGCCAGCAGTTTGGAGACGACGGGAAGGGAAGGAAAAGAGCGACGACGGGGGGGGTGTGAGTGACAGGGAATGGGGGTCGATGAATGAACGAATCCTAGGCCGAGGACGGGACTGGGGGGATTTCGGGGAGCGAATGAACTGGGTGACGGAAGAAATAAAAAAGGGACTGGAACGGGAGAGAAAAAAAAAAAAAAGAGTGGAAAAGGAGGAAAACGGGGCGGGGGGTCGGTGTACCTACTCCAATTAACCCCTGCTCCTCTCACTTCAGGTTGGTCTCTGATCATTCGCTATTTGACTAGGTATTCACTGTCCAGTGGCCAGTCTCACTAGGTATGTACTTGTGAGAAAATCAATCTGAGTGAGGAAAGGTTGCTGATTACTCTCGTCTGCCGCGTCCAGAAGCAGAAGGCCTCATCTTCTTCCATGTCTACCTACTCCGTACCTAGGTACCTTATTGTGTACAGTATCCAGTGTCTCCAGGCCCTGCCAATTCGCAGTTGGATGTGAGTGGACCAGTCCAGTCGGTACCCATCATCATCATCATCTCTCTCTCCTGACATTATGCCTAGATGTTAGATGCCAGATGCTAATGCTAGGCCGGTCCTGCTCTCACCTTACTTGCGCCGTAGCACTTCACCTTGGGCCTCACTACCACAGACAAGGCAAGGTCGCGAGGACTCTTGGAGCGTGCGTTCTTATGACGGGGGGTCCTGGTGGCCGTTGCGGACGCTCGTGAAACAACAACGTGAAGAGGCAGGGAATGAGGTCAAGAGCTGAGACTGGTCGCAAACACTGTGTGGCGCCTGCTTCTTTTGGTTTGTGAGGACAGTGTTGGAGCATAATTCCCACCACGATCCTGCGCACTGTCTCAGGGTCTGGTGGATCCCCACTTGTACCCACCCCACCCAGCTAAGGTACCGGCCCCGACTTCGACGGCGCTGCCGCTAGTGAGACACTGCAGGCAGGATACATGTGGCAGGTGTCGTCGAGACATTTGACGTCTAGCCGACATGAGGTGCGTGCGGTTTGCGGCTTGACTACGTACAACTTGCGGAAACTGCGAGGATGATTCCGGCGATACTAGGTACTCCTTCCTGACCTTACTACGTACCTTACCTTACCTTGCAACTCGTCTCTTTTCTCTCTCTCTCTCTCTCTCATTGCGTCAAGAAACTAGTACCATGAGCAGACCACAGACTACCGTCCGAATACACTAAGACCCAGAAAGTCTGAAGATCGAGACCCTCAAGGCCATCTCTCTACACTAGCCGAGAGCATTGACGTTCCGCAAGCCTCGACCTGGTCAACTTCAAGTGGACTCGACATGCGCCGGAACTCAGAACCGGACTCCTCCTCCCTGGACCTTGCTAATATCCCACAGGTTACAAGTTACAACCCGTCCACCCATACACAGTACTGCGTACCTACACACAATCACCACCACTCAGTGCTCACCAACATCGCCGTCCATCCCTCGCTCGCCCAGCCGGTACCACCCACACTCGCGCACAAGTCCCCGTCCGCCCGATGACCTAACTGCTTACTCTGCACATCCTAAGCAGAAGCATAACGCCGTAAGGCCATGAGGTAGGGATGGAGGCCGTCATCAACTGCACCAACACCCAAACAAACAACGTGCCCGGGCCGCATATTGAGCCTCTCCTTCCCACCACAACATCCGACCGCGCCGCCATCGCCGCCGGCGCAGGAACGCAGGAACCATCACTTGCATTCAGGGCCAGGCACGACCGGTGGGACGCGGCGGACACGCACAGAACAGAAGGAAACTCCCAGTCTGCTATTGCTACACAGCAATGGCTCGGTGAATGGTGATGCTTAGCACAGACCTTGGCCCATCTTCAATGGACCATACTAAGACTCCCAGGGACCACAAGCACGGGAATCTGTCATCCATTCTAAGTCTCCATTGTGTCGAAACCGACTCAGCCCTCCCGATATCATGTCCCGGCATTCAGTACCCTACTTCAGGTTGGACAATTGAGTTCGAGGTCCAGCCTTGGCGTCAACGGCTCCTGCATTTCTACGCTCCTGTTGTCTATCTGCCCCTTTTCTTACACCTCGCCCTTTGTCAGAGTCTGAGTTCCCCTCTCCCTCCCCTGGCCCACGACAAAGCGAGGCCATCGCTAAACGGACACTTTTCAAGGTCCCAATCACCACCTCAACCATGCAAGGTACCTAGCTGTCTAACCCCTTCCCTGGGGTCACGGGTGGACCTGACCATTCTCCCGCATCTCAAGCGTGAACAAGAGGTGGGCTGGAAGGGGGGACTAATTCATTGGAACCATCCCCTCGGCGGACTATTCCACCAACAGGACAAGGCTTCAAAGGGAACCCTACGTATCATCCCAGCCAGCATGCGGCATTCCCGCCGAAGGTGCCTATCTGCACGTACAGCTGCCAAACCGGTCACTGTCAGGGCCATTTTGATAACGTCCGTCCGCTCCCACGGCTCTCAGCTGTAGATCTCGCTTCACATGCATCTATGCCCCCCTCCCTCGCCTACATACATCCCGCGCCTGTTTGACGAACCCGGTCGCCCATCATCTCGAATTAGATCAGGTCCCCACCCTCAACGATACCCCGCGTCCATGATGACAATCTTCCCACCGGTCGCCCTGGGTCATGTCAGGGCCCTTTTTTTCCAGAACGCCCAGAGATGGTTGGACGTTCGAGAAACACCGACTCCCCCACTTCTGCTGGGCATCTCCAGCTTGAACCATTGTCTTTGGCTGAGAAGCTTCGCGGCGACGGGGACCTTTGCTTTGGAATCACTGATAACGATCCAGAATAGCCCTTTGCCAAGCTCTGTTTCTCCAGGAAACAACATCATCATTGGAATCTATGGCACGCAGTCTCCTCGTCCAGACAAGTCTGCTACCGATATTGTATGACTGCGAGCGAAGAAGACGACCCAAGAAAGAGACCAAGTAACCACTCGGAAACTCCCCCCTTCCTCTCGATCTCCTCATGCGCGCCTACAATGCGGCACTTTCGCCAGAGAATGTGATCAAGATATCCCGAATTAGCAACTTCATCTTGCGCACGCCGTACGGCGACATCGACAGGTCCGGCAAACCCATGTCCAATGTCCCATCTTGTCACAAAATGGCTCGTCCCTCTACAGAGCAGCAGTCGTCTAATTCGTCCGGAGAAAGATCCAAGCTAAAGCAAGGTCGAGCCGATAACCGCTGTCGTCGCAAGAATTCACAATTATGTCTCCGTCCCATCATCAACCGGCAACACGCCATCCCACCTTTTCTTCATTTCTAAATTGAAATTTAACCATATCATTAAGTTAAGCGCCGGCCCAATCCCAACGAGCATGACGCTAGTCCATCATCTCGGAGCCGGGTTTGGGGATGGGGGTTGGTCAGAACGAACGAAAATGCTTGACTTCACTTTCCCCTCCGGCACGGCGTACCCACCCCGGTCAGGTTATCAAAAAACTTGCCGTGTCTGAAGCGCAAAAGAGCCTCTTGTATCTCCATCCATCCACACACGCATCACTTTCCCAGGTTTCCCTCTCTCTGGGTTGTGACGGTGCGAGCTCGACATGCATGTTTCTTCGAAGCTAGCAAAAGACCGAAGGTGTTTCCTGGGTGCAAATCCCAAGCCGATTGGCTCAAACGCACCCTACGATCCAAGAAGCCCTATGCAGGTTGGTGGTGCAGACGTGCTTTCTCCCCTCGCTGTGCCCCCCTGCGAGGTCGTCCAACCCATGCCTTTCGGTTCTAAAAATAGGTTTATTTTTAGCACAACACACTTGGCATGCATATGCTCACCTCTTGCTCCGCAGCCACGCGACCCGGCGACCGTTTCTCTCCCCCCCAAAAAGCCAAATCCAAAGGCCTTTTGAACCACACACGCACGCACCACTGCATCTCGGGAGCCAATTATCCCCCTTGCCTTTTGTCGATTGATTACACGTCTTTTCCGACTTACACAGTACATCTACGTAGTCCGTGGGCTGTAGGCTGTTGGTGGGTAAAACTCATCTGTTCCACCTCTGATATGTCTAGTCAATGTTTCCTGGCGCCGCAAAACCAGGCTGGGGGGTTTTGGAGAAACCATGCTCTCACACACCTGGCTTGGCAGAGACTTCATGTTCTCTCTGAGGAGGGCCCTTGTATAACCCCAACCACCAAACTCATCATCATCATCAGCAGCAGCAATCACCAACCACATGTTCATTGCAACCCGCATCCCACCGCGTACCATTCCATCCCATCCAATCCACACTTTTTCTTCTCATGTGACTTTGAACCCCCCCCCCCGTCCCCTCCCCCTTTCCCTCTTCCAAGGTAATCAACCACAAACTGGTTCTCAGTTCCTAAACCTTGCACGGATGGATTTCCATACCTCAAAGCAACCTCGATCTGACAGGCCTGACAAGCCTGACAAGCGGGACAACAAACCCCACCTCCAAATGGTCCAAACGGAAACAAGGCCCTGGTCTATCTACGCTATCCTTTCCAAACAGAAAAGTCTTGATCGTTTCGGGGCGTCTAGAACGCCCTTTGTTGGGACCTATCGCCCATTATCCCTCATCCAATCCCTCTTTGACGTCCTTTTCCCCCTTCTGTCCATCTCTCGAGGTTTGTCCTTGTTTCTTCCCTACATTAGCCCGGCCATCGTCCGCGCGGTTTTTTGCCCGGTTCGCCAATCTAGGAAGAAGATGATGCGCCGCGAGAGTCCACATTGATACACGAATCCCGGATTCTGCCCCCCCCCCCTTTTCCCCCCTTCTTCCTCGGACCTCTCCCCCACCCATGTTTGTACGTATCGACACTACCCTTACCTGTCTTTGATCTTCCCGCCTCTCCAATCCATGTTCATCTTTTGCCGCATCTAGTATCTAGTTCTCCCGGCAACCTACATGCCTACACTACACTACCTCCTCTTCACCTCCATGTAATCATCGGCCCGTGCTAGCCTCTTCCAAGAGCCTCCCCCTCCTATTTTTCCCCATTCACCCAGCCGCCCACACTAGCTAGCTACCCGACTACGGCATGCAATATCCAACCGGGGGGGTTCTCCAACCTCGGAACGAGAAGGTAAGCTGGACCTACGCGTCCATCACTGCAGAGTAACGACACACACTCATCACCATAGTTGAGAAGAAGCAGTAGTAGTTAGTTAGTCACTTTGTTGAAATGAATTTCCCACGCGTGTGATGAGAGGGTACTACCCACGCTTCACGCGGCTGTAGCTAATTTTAACAACACCAAACGCCGTGCCGATGCATCATTACATGCTTTGCTTAACCGCTTTGCCAAAACCCCCCTTCCTTCCCACCATTCGGCATCGTCGTTTTCCCCCTTGCTCGTCGTGACGTGAGAGCAGTCCATTAAATCTGCCCCGTCCAGTTTTGACAAAGTTGATCAAGCCTTTCCAAATTCCCCCAAGCTCCAAGGGCTCTCACCTCCTAGATGTTTTCTTTTTTGTCATTGTACACACACCCTTTCCCACCCCTTGATTGTCGAATTGCATGGTGGGCTCCAATTTTGGATTGTTCGGTCCGACCTCTTGTATGAGATTTCTCTGGTCCAAACGCTCGCAACTACCCCAACCTTTCTTCAACATGAACTTCCCAGCCTGTTCATTGTGCCTGAACCCCTTGCGTGAAATCGCTTGGCATAGCCCTATTGTTAGCAACCGGGGGATGGTTGCGAGTGGGGTTCTTTCCCCCGTTCTGGAACGTTCGTCGGTAGTTAAACGACCAGCTGCAGCCTTTGCTGTTGATTAATTGGAAAGCGCCGGAAACAGCTACCGGCTATTCGGTTGTTCGAAGTCTGTCGTCTCAACCGTATTTTAGTGTCCTGCGCTGCAACGTCTGGTCCGTTGAAGCCCCTGACAGCTGCCAGTTTCCGCCGTCCGAACTCGACGTCGTCTCGAGTCGTTCATTGCCCGGGAGAACCGGCTCCAGCAGCTGGGGCATTGTAGGTACCGAAACCGCCATGTTCTGCGATGCCGTTGTCGGTCTTCATCGTGCCGTTAAGCATAGGGCAAAGCCTTTGCGCGGGTTAGTATGCGTGTATACGAAACAGAAGTTATGGGAGAAGTGGAGAAGAGAAAGCATGTTGAGTAGGTAATGGGAAAAAATTGTGGAAAGCAAGCAACAGGGAGTGACGATGACCAAGGGAGCATATGCTTATATGACCCTGGTGCTCATACTGCTGTTGTGCCAGTAGGGCTTGGAAGTGTACTTGTTGTACTTGAACTTCTTTGCCTTTGGCTTTGGGGGCTGTTTTGGCTGTCCCTTAGACGATGCTCGCCTATTGGCCTTTTCTTTGGAGCGGTCGCGTATCCTGTGCTTTTGAATCCCGTCGTCTTTTTGCTTTGGCGGGACTGCTTTTCGCTGGCGTGCCCTCAACAGGAGCTCCCGCTTGAGAACCCAGCGATTGTTTCCCCCACGTCTGAACATGCTCCGGAGATCTGAACTGGGACGGGGAGGTAAAGGAAAAGCAAAGGGAGCAATACTTCTTGTTTGTCTTGATGTGTCCGACTTGTCCACAATTGGCACACTTTCGGGTTGTACCGGTGGCAGCACGGTCTGCTTCGGGGGACCCTGCGTCGAGTCCACTCTTGGAACGGTGGAGCCCTTTTTGTTGCTCTCGTCCGATGCGTCGCTGCTTGTTTCGGTTGAGCCGTTCAAGCTCCTTATCAATCCTGCTAGGTGGTCAATCAAGTGTTCAGCATCTACGGAAGGATAGTGCGTACTCAACCAGGCGACGGCGGTCGTCATCAGCGACACCAGTCGGTCGTCCTTCGTAGATACTAAACACGAGATTATGTGAGCGGGGAGCGCATGAAGGTTGAATAATAGACCTGAAAGGGGATGGGGAGGGGGCCAACGCGGTGGGACTTCGTACTTGAAATCCTCCAACTCCAACTCCTTCTTTCTCTTGATATAACGGTCTATAATCACAGGGTCTTCGAGAATGATGACCTTTTGCTCGACAGCACCTTGATCATTGAGAACTTCTCGGGTAATCTTGAGTTTCTTTCGCTGGTTCCGGCTAGTTGATGTCGTCAGGCCGGTAATTTGACTCATCCCTTCGTCGGCATGGGCAGGAGTCTGGGCTCGTTGGGGGTTGAATCGGTCATCTTCGTCTGGTGGCAGAGGGACCACGAGGTCATCGTCCTTTTGTGTGCCGTCCTCCAGACTGTCTTTTTGCTTGTCCCAAATTTCGCGAATGCCTTTTCTGTACATGGCTTCTTGCTCCTTGACGTTGTAAGCGTGGCCGTTATTCGCCTTCCGTTGTGCATCAGGGTGTGCTGCCATGGCGTCAGCTGCAGTGGTATGGGATCCACCTTTCTGGACAGTCTCGATGTAGCCGCCCTTCATGGAAGTTCTGATAAAACTGAATCCAAGGCCGTGGCCAGTCGGGTCTCCTTGTCCGTGAAGCTTAAGCATAGCCTTGCCAGCGCATGCGTCGATGAAGGCCTTGCTGGTTTTCCACGGCGCCATCTTGTCTGCCAGTTTTTCTTCGTTCTTTTCGGCAGCCTTCTTACTACCTTTGGCAGTGCCTGCACCCGTGCGATCGTCGTCCTCATCCTCGGCAACCTCTTCGTTGTCGTCCTCCAGGTTGACGTTGTTAGGGTCGAAACCAGCGTCTTCCAGCATCTGCATACCCAACTGCATACCATCAATCAGGCAGACGTCCTCAGGCTTGATCATCGCTCGTATTGAGTTCTCATCCATAAGAGTCTCGCCGTTCCTAAGGCCCCAGAGTCCTTTTTCAACCTTAGCGTAGGATAGGAACTCCTTGAGCTTTTGCCGGTTTTGAGCGTCCGTCGACTCGGCAATATGTTTCGTCACCTCTGATAGATTTACCAAATGGTGCTCATTCCTCCTCATCATGCGGTACGAAATCATCTTGATTCTGTTCTTCGAGGCATTCGTGACCTTTCGAGAGTGAGGGCCAGGGACCTCAACACTAGGAAAAGTCTGGCCAACCACGTAAAGATGATCAATCTTGTGCAAGTACCAGTTGGCTCCGTCGACGCCCGTTGAGCTGCGGACACAGAGGAAGTCTGTAGACCGTGGCTTATGCTTGAAGATTGGCGCCCGATACATTTGGTTGTGCAAAGTAGGCATGGTTTGTCCGACTTCGACCTCGCCAAAGATGGCGAAAGGGGATCTGTCTTCGGGCAAGAGGACGTGAGACTCACCAATCTCCATCTTTGGTGGCGTCTCTTCGTCATCGACCTTCTTTTTGCGGTAGTAGTTAATGACACGGTTTCCCATGCCAAAGTTGGAAAGAACGGGTGGCGTTCTCTCACAGTACTCAAAGAGCACAGCCGTCGAGTTGTCCGTTATGCCCAAGTCTTTGGTGGTTTTGAAGACCTCATGAGCCTTTCCCTTCATAGTCTTGCGCTTATGGAAGCCCAATTTGCTGAACCTGACCGTCTGACGCTCATGCTTACCAAACTTGAAATGAGGCCGGTGGAATCCATCTCGTCGAATGTCCAGCTTGACCTTGTAGAACGGCCATGCCAGTTTAAGCGCAGGCATACTGTGCTCGACGGCAAGATTCCCCAGAGTTGCTCTGACCTTGTGTTGATGGTTCTCCTTGAGCGCCTCGTACGCATCGTCGTTGGACATGTTGAAGCGAGAAGATAAGTCAGGTCTCAAGTGGCCGTTCGCCATGCGCGTCATCTTTTGCTCCACGCGTTGGCGCTTGGGGCCACGCTGCGATTCGGCTTCTTCCAGGAGAAGGTATGGGTCGTTCAAATCGAGAATGACGCGCTTCGAGGCGCGCTTGGTCACATCCTCAAACGAGTCGAACGATGGTGCGGTGAATCGAGGAATTTCTGGCAAGCCCTTTGGCGGGGGCGGACGCGTCTTCTTCTTTGGCGGCGGCTTTGGCTCTTCGTCTTCCATGAACTCAGCCTCCCAGTCGAAGTCAAAAGCATCATCATGGGCACGCTTGACAGAAGCGGCGGCGGCTGCCTCGGCTGCAGCCTCCTTTGCTTGTTGATCGCGGAAGTCTTGCTCAGCCTGCTCAATACGGATGGACCAGTCATCGCACACCATCTCAATGTCTTGGAGTGTAAAACCCGCCACTGCTTCCGAATCGGATTCTTGCTCGAGATTGAATTCTTCAGCTTCAGCTTCGTCTGAGGACTCTTGCGGGGCGCAAGACATGAGCCCTCTAGACTCATCGTCGATGCGTCTCTGCTTACGAGTCACAGTCGCGGGTCCGGGGATGCGGAAGAGCTTCTCTTGGTCGGCGGCAAGATCCAGAGTGAGCTTGGAGAAGAT